TCCCTGCTCAGCAGGAAGCCTGCTTCTCCCTCTCCCACTCCCCCTGCTTGTGTTCCCTCTCTCGCTGTCTCTCTCTCTCTGTCAAATAAATAAATAAATTCTTAAAAAAAAAAAATGAATCCATCTATCAGAAAGGCTAAAACGTTGGCCCCACCAAATATCAGTGACAATGTGGAGCAACAGGAATGCTCATTCATTGCTGCTGGGAATGCAAAATAGTTTAGCCACTTTGGACGATGGTTTGACAGTGTCTTAGAAAACTAAATATATTTTTGCCATATGATAGGGAAACTGCCCTCCTAGGTATTTGTCCAAAGGAGTTTATAACATAGGCCCACACAAAAACCTGCACATGGATTTTTTTTTTTAAAGTAGGCTCCACGCCCAGTGCAGAGCCCAATGTGGGGCTCGAACTCATGACCGTGAGATCAAGACCTGAGCTGAGATCAAGAGTCAGATGCTCAACCGACTGAACCATTCAGACACCCCTGCACACAAATTTTTATAGCAGCTTTATTTGTAATTGCCAAATTACAAATTGCCCTTCCACAGGTGAATGGATAAACAAAATGTAGTAATGCATCGAGAACCTGGAGTAGTATTCAGTGCTAAAAAGTAATGAGCTACCAAGCCATGAAAAGACATGGAGACATCTTAAATGCCTATTATTAAGTGAAAGAAGCTAATCTGAAAAGGCTAAATTCTATATTATTCCAGCTATATGACGTTCAGGCAAAGGCAAGACTAAGGAGACAGTAAAAGGATCAGTGGTTGCCAGGCATCGGGGCGGGGGATGTGGTGGGAAGTACAGTGGAGCACAGAGGATTTTTAGGGCAGGGAAACTACTTTGTGTGATACTAAAGTGGTGAATCGTGTCGTTACAAATTTGTCAAAACTCAAAGAATGTACAAGGGCAAGAGTGAACTGTAAACTATGGCCTTGGGATGATTATGATGTGTTCATGTAGGCTCACTGACTAACAGATGTGCAGCTCTGGTTGGGGGTGTTGATAGTGGGGGAGGCTGTGCATGGGTGGGGGAAGGGATTGACGGGAAATCTCTGTATTTTCTGCTCCATTTTTTTGTGATCCTAAAAAGTGGCTCTAAAAAAATAGTCTATTAGAAAAAAAAAAAAAGACAGCCTGCGTCACTTAATGTAAGCAAGTAAACAAAACATTAATTGCTCTTCCTGGCTCACAGCTAAAGCATGCTTAACTCTCAAAATACTCACAGGTCCTACTGGATTTTTAAGTTCTCCTGTGAATAAAACCCTTCAGCCTCAATCCCTTCAATTTTTAGTGCCTATAGCTCCTGCCCAAGCTCTAGAGGGCTGAAATATTCTCATATTCCTTTATGTAAACTTCCTTGGATCGTAAACTATGAGCAGGTACTTAGGGAACTCCTGTGTGCCAGGCCCAAACAGCATCACCAGTTCTGGTGACAGCACCCTGTAAAGGGTGGGGCAGTGACTCAAGGGACGTATGTGACCTTCCCAAGGTCACTGGCCAGTGAGTCGAGATAGAGCTGGGACCAGCGCCCCAGTCCCTCTGTTCCGTGGAGCAATGTACAATATACTGAAAACAATGATGGTGAATTTTTAGGACTTGTATTTCAGCCACTAAGTAATAACCATCATTTTGAAAGAATATTCTTGCCCACTGTAAAAATCAAACAATGTATAAAAATCAAACAAATGTATAATGTGGAAAGCGTAAGGTCTTACTGAAAGCAACTGGAGTGAGAGGTGCCCCGGTTTGCTTGGGACAGGCCTGGTTTGAGCCTGCTGTCTTGGTACAATTACTGAGTGGGTGCTCTTTTCCCTTCCCCAAGCGAAATAATCATACCTCTTTGGATGATTTTATACACGGAGGCCCTGCCTTGATCCTTCCCCACGGCAATTGTCACTGTTTAGTAGTTTTCTATGTATACACATATGTTCTCTGTATACACTAGCAACATTTCATGTGTAAAAATAGATCCATCCCAGCTTGCTTTTTCATGAGCGAGAAGAGTAAATAACACGCTTCTTCCCCCTAACTGGACCTCAGCCACCCTGGGCCATCTGGCTCTCTTGATTTAGGGAACCTGAGTGTCTGCCCCGAGCCTGCCCCTCCTCCCGTTCCCTGGCTCTCTGGGAGAAGGCCAAGGCACACCGGAGCATGCACGTACCATGTACAGAGGCCGGCCGCACTGCTGGACGAAGTCCGTGTAGAACACCATCGAGGCCCGTCGGAAAATCCCCAAGTCTGCCGATGACACAGTTGCATGGTAAGGCCGAGTCAGAGGTCATACAAAATACTCCCATATGGCCCAAGCTTGGAGGGCCAAGATGATGTCGACTTCACCTTAATGCTTTGCACACCTAACAGGTCAGCAATACATGTTGGCCTTAAAAAACAGAGCCTGCGGCCCCCGGGGCTGTCCCGTAAGGCAAGAGAGATCCAGGCATCGCCCTGCAGAAAGGCAGGTGAGGTGGATACAGTAACAAGCGCTCACCAATAATCTGGGCAGCTGACCAGCCCTTCTGCGGTCTCCTTCGGCTAAGATTCCCTTTGCTTACAGTTTACTCCAGTGCTGTTTCCTTCAGAGCAGAGAGGTAATGGGGCCCCTCAAGCTGCCTTAAAACATCTGTCCTCTCTATAGAGGATGGGAATCTTAGCTTGCAAAAATTCTACTCTATTTCCCCGTGTGGTTATAAGTCAGTAAGAACTGAACTCAAGTGTCCTAAAGTCTAAGAAGCATGCTCAGAAAGCCTAAACTTGTGCGGAAGCTGGAATCAAAGGGATGTAAGTTAAGATGGCAAGAAAAAGATACGGAAAGAATTTTTAAATGCAGTCCTTCAAAAGCACAGGATGAAACACACCAAGTGTTACGATTGTTGTATGAACAGAGTGAGGGTCGCAGGTGGAGCTGTCTTTCTGGGAGCTGTCTACCCTTGCACACATCACCTGGAAGGCTGGGGTCTGCTCAAAGCAAGCATTTCCGTGAGGGTGGACCCCAGCTCTGTTGTGAATGCTGTCCCCCTTCACGTCTACCCCTGGGGTCAGTGGAACCAGACCTCACTAGACCGGATATGCTGAGGGATGGAGGGGGGAGGGGTGGGTCCATGCACTAGCCCAGGAGAGGTGCGGGGCAGGCTGGGTTGGAGTGTATCCCTGCCCCTGAGCCCCTCTCTGCCACCCTCCACCCCCCCACTGATACTGCCCAAGCTGGAAGGGGCATTCAGGGAGCAGCCTGGCAGGACAGCCCGGCGGGTGGCTTTGTTAAGAAAACAACCGAGAACCCTGGGAAGGGTGGCTGAACGTTACCTGAATCAGACACGTCTGAATCAGTGGGAAGCAGAGAAGAAATGAGAAAAGAAAATGACATAAGAAGGTAGCCAAACAGGTAAACTCCTGGTCATTTTGTTTTTCTCTCAAAATGATGACTTTCATTTTCTTTTCCAATTGAGAAAAAAATAACGTTTGCTCATCACAGAGAACACAGAATCTTTCTGCCCCGGCTCAAACATTCCCAAGTCCACTATTCCTCAAAGAGGGAAGCAGACGTCTGTCGTCCCCATCTCCTTTGGGCACCACTTGCAACGTGCACTCCGTCCTCTCTCATGAGCAATGCCTGCCGTCCCTTTCTCCGGCTAGTTCGGCTAGCACAGTTGTGATCTGGGCAAGTAGCTCTATGGCTTTCTGTCCTCCTTATGAAATGCTCTGCCCCATCGCTGCTGTCTTTCCTGTGTCCACGTTCCTTTTCAGGTGTGGCCTGAGGGCCACAGAGAAGGGTGTATGTCATTCTAGAAAGCAGAAGCAGCTTATAAAATGGGCAGAGAGAGGCTGATGTTGGCTGAGCCACTGTCCACCACCCAACTTCCTGTCTTTGGACTAAGTTTAGTTGTGACCATTGTCACCATAGAACGGCATATTTTCCTTTAGACGCTGGTAAATCTGTGACCACTTGAGGAAGACTCCCTGGGTAGAGAAACTGAACATACTCAGTGATGCTGTGCACTGGCTGTCCTGCATTTACCTTGGCTACGCCTCTGTCCTGCACTGTGGCCCCCGGGAGGCAGACTGCAGGACCCTGTAAGTGGATTTGCTCCCTCTCTATGGATTTGGACAATGGGAAACCCCAGCAGGAGACTGGAGGGGCTCAGGAAGGAGAGCGAGCGTGGAGTATTCATCCACCTGGAGCCCTCCCTGTGAGGTTGCCTCAGACTGGCCCTTGTCTGTCAACTAAAGGTCACTGTTTCTTTCAGAGTGACTTCCTGTCCTTCCGCATTTTGGTAACCACTCCCTCCCTGTTCTGGTAACCACTCCCTCCCTGTTCTTTGGGCTCTCCTCCTCCTGACCCCAGGTTGCCAGGCTACCTCATTCACTCTCCTCTACCCCAACCTTGTCTAATGAATGGTCCCTTTGTGATTAAATCTTCCATCTTTGTGTGTGACATCTTTTTCTTGGTGAGAGCCTCCAGACTACCACATGGTCATAATATAATACATTACATTTCTCCTTTTTAAGAAGGTAAACTAATACAGTATGGCAAAATCGTATGGGGCAAAAGTGGTACAAATATACTAAAAGCTCCCTATGTATTAGTCATGGTCACTACCGTTTCATTTATCTGTATTCAAGTTTGTTTTTCCAACTCTGGGAGAACCCAGGAGCAGCCAGAACAACTGTGCTTCAGATTACTTTCCTTTTCAAAGTTGACTCTGTATGACTTCACTCACCTTTGAGTCTAGAGGTTGGGGCGTGACCAGAGCCCCCAACCAAAATGCTCTATACAACCAGTTAGTGATGCTTCCACTGGGCAACTTGAAGATACATTGGGTATGTTAACGCCAAGGACAAATCTACTGACTGAGCCCAAGGGGAAAACTAAACTGCCAAAATTGTTTTATTCAGCTTTCTAACCTTAAAGCTACTTGTTTATGTAGAATCATTCTTAGACCTGGCCATATTTTAAAGGCCCTCGCTCCCCAGTGAGTGAAGGGTCTGCCAGGCAAGGGAACTACTCCTTCTCCTTCTGGGCCACATTCTGAATTCCCAGACCCCAGAATTCCCTGCCCAGATGGACTTGAGTCCATTCACAGAGCCTACGTAGCCCCCTTCCTCCATCGACCTTCCTGAGGGCAGATGGTGCTGCAAGAGTGAGCACCTCTAGGGGCAAAGAGCAGCTACCTGGATGTTGGGCAAGAATGTTCATGTACATACCTGTGAGAGCCCTCAAGATGCAGGACAGAGCCAGAGTGGAAAGAAAAGACTGGTAGGGGCTGGGGACCAGCTATGTTCTGGAGTGTTCTTGAGGAACTGACAATGTTGAATTTGAACCTGCACCTTCTAGGCTATAATGAAGGCATATTATATTTATCAGTTTGTTGGTCTTCCTTCCTTCCTTCTTTCATGTATTTAATAGTTTTTTTTTTAGTCTGCTTTACAACTTTAAAATTTTTACACATGATATGTGGGCTTGTATTTACAATCTTGCTTTGGGCTCTGCAAATATTAGGGATGGGACTATGTTTATATATAATTATTTTTCTTGAAATATACAGAAGAATATTTAAGTCAGACTTCCTCGTCCCGTAAAAGGACTGGGGAAATTTAAATGCTCTACAATGACTCAAATCTGTTCCCACATATAACAACTGATGGCAGCAGATCAGAAGCTGACTTCCATGGGGCAGTCAGTGCTCTAACGTGATGTGTGTACATTGTTGGGGGGAGTTCAGCAGGTGTCCCATCTGTTGAGAATGGTAAGTCTCAAAACATTCGTCCCAGTCCCAGAGTTTGAAAACCATATATAATTCATTCTTGATAACCATTTAGCCTGCTCAGAGAAATGCTCCTTTTAGAAGGTACAAATGGAAAACGATTTCTGTAGGTGCAATGAGTGGCTTGATGAGCACACCATTCTTCAAACACACTTTCAGAGTGCTATGAGTTATAAAGCACTGGGACTTGGAGCTGGAGGTCGGCCTCAGTCTGAGGTATGGCAAGCCTACTTCTCAGTTGAAAAGAGAACTAGTGGCAACAGCTCATTGTGATCCTATACAGGAGAAGTTATTAAACCCAGAATTCAGAGCCCGTGTTCATGATGACCAGCTTACCGTTTAGGGTAAGCAAAGACAATGCTTTCTTGGTACATTTATCAGTGTGTTTAGTGTAGAGTGACAGGTGACTCACCGATCTTGAAACGACCCATGTAGTAGATCTGGGTGCTGAGGGCCAGGGACGCCAGGACATGGATCGCAGAGAAGATGACCCAGAACCACACGTCATTTTTTCCAAACACCTAGGAGTAAAGATGGAAGTTATCTTCATCTGGGGTGCGCCCCACAGAACTCACGAAAATCATTCTGTCTCTCGTGTATGCATCTGGAGTCAAAACCCCAGCTGTGCATGCATTGTGGTGTCCCCTCACTTCTGTGAGCTCACCAGAATCTTACTGCACGAAAAAGAACGGCCGCCTGGCCAAATGACAGCGGGAGAGGGAAGAGACGGGGGAGGCACCGAACAGCAACAGTGAAGGGGCAACAGGTCTAGAGCTGGGGGCAAACGCTCCTCAAACAACTGCACCCAACCCACACGTGTCCCTGCACATTCCGCGAGTGGCGTCTACTCAGTCTGTCTCTCCAATCAGCTTGTACATCCCTGCGCCGATCTCACGTGAGTCAGGTCCCAGCTTGACCGAGACACTCTGCAGCACGCGCTCTACAGGTGCCTCTTCCATTATTAGAGATAACTAGCTCATTAAGTCAATAAAATGCCACAAAGTGACCCACAGTGGCTGCCTATCAGGAACCGAGGACTGTGATTCATTCAGACCTGTTCCCCTGAGGTCCAGCAGACAAACAAGGGAAAACCTCCCCAGGGGGCGCGCTTGGAAAACGGGTCTGAAGGCTGTGGGGGGGCGGGGGACACGAACCACTCCGAGGACAGTGAGCGTGATGACGGCCGCGAAGGAGGCGTAGGCGGCGTAGGCACTGGCATTGATGTCCGGGTGACGGGTCTGGTAGAGCTTCAGCATGCAGAGGCCGGCGATCATGTACATGAAGGAGGTGTCTGAGGGCACATGGGAGGAGCCCAAACAGTCAGGATCCAGCAGGCGACAGAGTTTCTCTTGAGCTTGGGAAGCCCCTGCCTTCAGGCCCTGGAGTATTTGCTGCCCTCAGACTATGTGGAGACCTCCAACATGACAGCCTCCATGGGCACGTTCTCTAGCCAGACCCTATACACTCCACTTCTAAACCCCTCCGATGCTGCTCCTAGTTCACCAAAGCCAGGTATCTGATCACATGATAAATAATTGACTGTCCCCACTTGCAGGGAAATTTGTGTTTAAATGTGTTCAGCAGCTATAACAGGAGTCCATACTGATAACGATTAGGGCGCTGGGACAATACAAAGAATCCTAGGTGGGTGTCGAAGGTCCTTATCAGCGTCCCGAAATAGAACCACATTGATTGCTGCTCATACATAGCTTTACAGCCGAGGGATGGAAGACAGCTAGAAATTAAATGGGGCGTAGCTGCATGAGAGCTGCATGGAAATGCAAATTAAAACAACAAGGCAAAGTCCATATTACTCAAGAATGTAGCAAAACATTTAAATGTCGGACAATAACACGTTCGTGATGATGTAGGGAAATGGGAACTCTCAGGCAGCTGGTGGGAGTAGAAATTAATACTCTGTAGAAACTGGGATGTTTTTGGCAAAATGGAAGATGCATGACCCAGGTGACTCCAAAATTCTAGGTCTAGGTGTCCCAGGGAACCTCTCCCACGTGTTCCCTGTGGCCCCATCTGCAACAGCAACGTGCCAGCGACAACTGCATGGTGTTCCACGGGGGAACTGATAAATGTAGAGTACATATTTTTATTACAGAAGATGACAGTCCTTAAAAATGAGTGAACCGGATGTCCTTGATTCAATATTGATAAATCTTGAAAACATATTGTTGGATGAAAAAAGAAGTTACAGAACATAGTGTGATAAGTAAATATTAATTTACTACAGACGTAGTAAAATTATAAAAACAAACGGGACTGATAAATATCGAATTAGTCATAGCTGTTGCCTCTGGGGAAGGAGGGAGGGGAATAAGTTTGGAAAGCAGTTCAAAGAACCTCAACTTTATCACAGCATCTTAGTTCCTAAAAGGTCGATTTAAGGCAAATATTTTTAAATGCTGGCATTTGTTCTGAGTGGTGACTGATACTGTTCTCTGTAGTTTTTTTCTACTAAAAATGTTTCTAATTAAAAAAAATTAAATGTGACAGAGAATTTCTGTGGTGTTCTGGGTTCACAGACAGAGGCTGGAACACAAACATGAAAACGGCTGTTTTTAAAATTCGTATCCTTGTGTGTGGGGGTCACGGTTAATTGCCTACTACTAGCAACAGCTCTTCCCTTCCTCCTTCCCGACAGCATATCAGTACTAACTCAAATATCTTAGCCCCATTTTCAATTCAGAAATGCATGCCTTTCCAGCCTATTTGTTTCAGCAAAGCTACTCCAACCCCTGGTTCCATGGATGGGTCTCACTGGTTTAAGATAATGCCCCTCCTTTGCCACCGTGATTGCTGTACCAACCCAGGCTCGAGCTAACCAGCACCTAGGGAAAAATTCTGGAATGGGCTCGTGACATTTAAACTACCTAGGTGTGGAAGAACATTCTCTGAGGGTTTTTGGCAAAGAAGTTTCCTCGCTCTTAAATAAAGGCTCCTGGAAACCAGCTTGCTGCATCCACCAAACATCATGAAGTAGAGACAGGAAGCCAGGACCTGCTGTAGCTATTCTTGCCATCATGAGTTTCCTAAAAGCCTGAGGATAAAATCAGCCTACAGGCCGAGCCCAATCCAAGGGATCAAGAGAACCGGAGCCAGAGCGGCCTGAGGAATCAATCGCAAGCCTTTCCCACCTTTGGATTTTCAGAAGGTGAGCTGATAATTGTCCTTATTGTTTAATCCAGTTGAACTGGGCTTTCTATTATTTTCAACCCAAAGCAGTCTAATTGCTAAGTTAGGCCAAATTATACCAAGGGAACTTTCCAGATGTCTGTTGGTGGATTCTATCTGCCCTGCTGCCTAATGCTTAGCCCAATGCCCACCTGCAGATCTAACCATGGGATCATCATTCAATGTTGAGCCTTTTCTAGTCTGAAAGGTGGTCAGAGAGAAAAGACGGTACAACATGTGGAAACCATGCCCAGTGAGGAGATGCCCTCAAATCACTTTAGCTCACATAAAATATCATTTAATTCTTGCATGCATTTGGGGAGGGCCCCAGGACAAGACTCCTATAACTCAAATCTGTGTGTTGATGGAAATTCTAATTACCGAATTGGAAGTTGGAGTAATTAGGGCAGACATGGTAACAAGCACTGAGCACTCCTTCCATGATCAATGCGATGCCCATTGCATAGAAAACACCAAAGTGTTTAGGAATCCCATACTCCTGAAAGAGGACAAAGCGTGGTCAGTGGAAAGACACCAATTGGTGATATAGCCATAGAATCTGGAAACCCAAGCTTTTCACATAACCCACCACCACACGATCCAGCCAGATGTCCCTCCCCTTTGCAGATACTGTGTGGAACATGACCCTTCCTAGCTCCCACATCTGATTTACCCACCCTCTCCTCACCATGGCAAAACTGTCCTTGGCTTCCCAGGGCTCTGTGATGGAGAATGTCCCGGTGCAAGACTATCAGCAGGAAGAGGAAGCCCAGGAGCACGTAGCCCAGGTTACTGAAAATGTTGTTGAAGGCACTAAGAGATGAGAGGGAAACCATGAGAGAGCCCAGGCGATCCCAGAGATTTGGAGAATGAATGAATGAATGCATGAATGAATACATGAATGAGTGAGTACTCTCAGCATTCCGTGTTTTCCGCCCAGCCCTATCATCAGATTTCACGACTGGCAAATCATGAGAGATCATCTTTAACCTCACTCCTTTATTTTAGGATGCCTAGCCTGTGATGTGTCCGTTTCCGCTCTGGGATGCCTGATTGGCTTCCCTAACCCTCACCCAAGCCTCTCTTATCCTGATGGCACTGATATGGGATGAATCCTGGCAAACAGCTGCTCCCAGGATGGGCAGCTTGGCCAAGAGTTTCAGCTACACCGTGAGAGGGAACTCTCATAGCCGGACCCATGCTATGTGTGTCAACATTCAGCTCTGTAACCGTGAAGGGTCAGCTGGTCATAGCCAGCTGCTTTATTTCAGGAAACGGAGGCTACTTTACTTCTGGGACAAGAAGCCCGGCTCCAACCACCAGGCAAATGCTCTTTCCACTTCACCATGTTCTGGTGGGCAGAGCATGGCCTTGGAGGCAGCAGGCCCGGGTTCGAGTCCTGACAGCATTAACCGTCGAGGGACCTCCCACAATAAGTCCTTACCTTTCTAAGCCTTAGCATCTTTATCTGAAAATGGGAGTAATAATAATCCTATCTATTTTATGAGGTTGTTCAATGGACTAACACAGGAGCCCCTCGTATGACGCTCACGGATGAGTGTCATCACAGCTGGGATCTGCTCTTTTCAAAAACATCCCTGCCCTCTTCTCAGCTGGTTATTCTTAGGAATACAGGAATGAGAGGAGCACATCTGGTCTCAAAACTTCTAGATTTCATCCTTCTTTACCCTTGACTGGGGTAGTTTTCCATGGTTGTTTTTAGTATTTTTAAAAACTGACATCGCATCACCCAGAAAGGAACCTGTAAATGCCTCACAGGCAACCAGAGGACGGGGCTCACCTCAGGACGCCCAGGGGGTGGGCACAGAGGAAGTTGTAGTAGCATATGTCCTGATTGCCCGTGGTGTTTGCCACCTGCAAAATCAAGAGTGAGAAGAGGAGCTGCATGTTTCCCCATCTGCTGAGCCCAGCCTGAAATCACAAAAGGCAGGCACTGCGCACAGTGATTTGCCACATAACCAGTGTTCCTTCTCAGCTGAGGACAGGTCATCATCTGCCCCCTTTACATAGCACAGGCTTATTAGGACTGTCACGATATGTTCTATTTTCGAGATGCATGTGGAAGGGTATGGAGCTGTCCCATGCTGTGCGTGGAAGTGCTAACCACGGGGCAAGTCAACATGAGGAGGTGTGTGTTCAGTTTTCTATATTTATCACCATCTCTATCATTGAGAACCTTCCCAGCTCTATCTTCTGACAGGGCCCTGAGGTACTCAAAGAATATTGAGATTACAAGCAGTGGTGCCCAAACCTCATAAAAGTCCTTCTCCTCATCCCATAGTAAGTATGGAATTGGCTAAATATTATTAGACCATTGCTTTTCAAACTTGGCTATACATTAGAATCACTGGGGTTTAATCAATACTGATGCCTGGCTCTACTCTCAGAGACTTGGATCTAATTTGGTATGGGGTACAGCGTGGACACCAGGATTTAAAAGCTTCCCAGGTGATTTTGATGCACAGCAGTTTGAGAGGCACTGCCTTAGAAACACCGTCAGCCTCATCCTTTTTATTTATTTATTTTTTATTTTAAAGATTTTTAATTTATTTTTTGACAGAGAGACAGAGAGAGAGCACAAGTAGGCAGAGCGGC